ATATCATGTATCCGGATGTCAACAAGTTGATGGAGAAAATCAAAAAAGCAGGCGCCACTGACTTCAACGAATTGATGCATTTCAATGATGAAAGTAAGGACAGTCAAGAGCATAATGCTGTTGTTAAAATTGAGGTTAGTGCATCTTACTATCAATTGTGCAAAGTGTTTCACATTTACACACTCGGTACTTTGGAGAAGACGAGAAAATCCATCATTCATTCGAATCAAAGTCGTTCAGATCACACAAGTGACACAACGATTATCTGATGATGTCCGATTTTCTTCCTTGCTAACAAGTTTTGTGCAGGACTATCTGTGCTACACCACATGGTCGATACTATCTGAATGGCGTAGAGATTTCTCAGTGGATCAATACCAAAGAATTCCTATTCATCGACTGGTCGCGCCGGAAGATAACAAGAAGTTCACCTTGGAAGATAAGATTGATCTTAATCGCAACATCTTACACGAATTACTTTATGAGGTCTGGCACCTCAAGAAAGAGATGAATCAACACGATCGTAGGAACTATTATCCAGATGAGTTCACGAATGGTATCCAGAAGTTTCTAAAAACTAAAAAAATTCCAATATGGTTAGTCTTCGCGGCACAGATCATGTGCGACATTCGGTTCATTCTGGGGAAGGAAGTAGTACATTGCCACGATGAGGCTGTTTTGTTTTCTAGTCATATGTTAAAGCTTCTGAACAATTACATCATGACAGATAGGCTTCACAAGTTGTATAGTTTACAGTTTGTAACGTATGTACTTTATAACGATATGTGGAGGTACACCTTGAAAGACTGGATGAGTCCGAATTTTGACACTGAGTCCGATGAGTGGGAGAAGCATCCCCCGCCAATTTCAAAGAAAAACCATGAGAAATTCTCCTATCTACGCCGGAATCCTATTATGTGTGGGCTATTGATCTTTGGACACACGATAAGATATCATGAAGCGGGAGTTCGTAATGCAGCCTTTGAACCTAGTACAATTAGCTGTATACATCTTTACAACGCACTTCGTCAAGAGTCGCGGAAAGATTTGGATGAATATCCCGAGTGGAAAGATATGGAATTTCTCATCTTGATACAATCAGTGGATCAATTATTCAATCAAAGGGATGAGCCTTCCAATTCGAATGACTATGTTGTGAGCTTTGAGAAAAAGATTCAAAAGCGACGTCCAACAGCGTTGAAGCATATTTCGGGGCTTGCCAAATACTTCCACCGCACTTACTGTAATCTGCGAGATTGTGATCATCATGGGTACTCGGCTGATTCTAAAAGTTTGTTTATCGCAATGCACAGCGACAAATTGGATGAGCTACTACCCAGTTTGAAGACCATCTTCCCCGGGAACCAACTTTCTCCTCCACCTTCAGATGAGGAGCCCAGCAATTTCTCTAATTGTATTGAAGATCTAAATGACAGAATGGAACTGGAGTTTTTAGCCAAGGAACCAAGCAAATGGAAGAAAGTTGAATTTCTCAGAGCTATGACTAGACTGATGGAAAAAGAATCTCTCTTTCTGTACTTCGATTGGCACGGAGTTCACGTTGCATGCGTACATTTGCTTAAGAAGCTGCATGAGGAGTTCCGATCAGAAATCGACGGAGCGGCGTCTGGAATTTCTCTTTTCCCCAAGCCTTCGGATTCGGTTAAGGTGGCTCATTTCCTATTGAAACGGTTAGGTAAGAGTGAGGAAGTTAGAAAAGATACCGTACAAAGGATGCGAAAAGTTTTCGACAGGAGATTTGGTAGGGCCTCGAGCGGACCAGAGGAAGACAAACACCTGGTGATCAGGGCGGTGAATTTGTTCTTGGTCAAAAGACCTCGATACAAAGCCTCGGAAGTTGAGATGGAGTTGAACCGTATGTGGTATTGTATATAGCGCGCAGAGTAACCGTTGGAATTAATTATCAATAGTTGAAAGGGATTGTACCTGGTGTACCTGTTATCGATTATGTAGAGATAATCCAAAGATATTGATTGGGACATGATACGAAATTGTGATAATTGCAATTATGAGTGCACAAATCCACTAAACGATTTCTCTCCCTAAATACCTAGTCATAAAACAAACAACAAATGAGGTTGAAACACACAAAGCAGCCACATCTCGTGACAGCCCTATGATTTTATTTATTTTTTCAATTTGACTCGCGCTTGCGCTTGCTTACATGCCGCCAAGTTTTGAGTCAGCATGGCGCATGTTACATTGAATTTTGTAAGGATTCCTGAGGGATCTTCAGCTTTTGTTTGAGGGTGTGTATTCTTGATCGTGACAATTGAGGGAGATTGATGCTGGAGATTGAGAATCGTAATTGCAGAATGAGGAAATGAGAGATATGAAAAGAGTGGAGGGTTGGGGTGGTGTGATCTGGTGCAATATAGGGGGAAATAAGATGGGTTAGGCGAGGATGAGAAATGATGATATTTGAGAGGAAGAGGGAGATTGATGTTTAAGTTTTGAAACGTGTGGTTTAACACTTCGATCTTGGTTTAGTCAGGAATTTGGCTTTTTGTCTTCGAGATTGGAGAGAGGTTGTAGATTGATGCATCGATGCATCGTTGAGCCAAGTTGCGTGGGAATTCAATGATCGATGAGTCAAGTGTGGCGCTCGTACTGTGATAAAAGATTAATTTTGAGAAACTTTTAATTTGAGAGATGGAATCGAGAGGAGTTGAGAGGCGTTAAGGAAATTCGAGAGGAGGAATAAGTGTCTTGAAGTTGTGGGTGGGAGCCGATGAGATGGGAGGCAAGATGGAATTGATGATTATTTGATAGGAGTTGAAGAGTCGACGGAATCGATTGAGAATGAGGTTTGATATGGTGAAGTGGTTGTGGAAAGGTATAAGTATATTCAAATATCTTTGTTGAAGAATGAAATCTACAACGCACTCTATTCCTTCATTCCAATACATTCCACTCTTTCCAGTTCTTATCGATTGCAATATCATTAACATTTTCTTTCATTCTCCTTACAACCCGAATTCATTCCACATCTCGCTACAATTGCACAATCTTCAAGATGCATTACCAGTACGTTCTCCTTTACAGCACTTAACAATCACAGATTACAGCTAATATCTCCCTACAGAAACTTTCTCATCGCCACGTTCGCCATCGTAGCTCCCCTTTCCCTCGCCCTTCCTTTCGCCGACCCTGAGCCTGCAAAAGGTGCCCCAGCTACAACTAAAATACCTGAAAACCAGAACATCTACGCCAAGCCTACTTGGCTTTCTATTCCCATCATTGACCCTACAAAACTTTCCATTTTTCCCACTCCTGCGCCTACGCAGAAGCCAGAACCTGTTACCACGAAGGGTGAGCAACAGGATGGACAGAATCATGCTACTAAGACAGTGAAGGGGGGCGAGGGTGGGGCGGCGCAGAGTAGTCAGGTTTCTACTACGCATGCTCCTAAGAATCCAGAGGCCAAGGGGAAGGGAAAGGGCCAGAGGGATGTTGAGGAATTAGAGGATAAGGACTTTGCAGATTTGGATTTAGATTGGGAGATAGAGGGAAGATTAGCGGATATGAGAGTCGAATTGGAGGAGAGAGCTGAACATGGAAAGCCAACTGGAGGTTTTACTGGAAAACCTCATCCGACACCTGCACCTACCGCCACTGCAAAACCAACACAGCATTCCACTGCGAAGCCGGATACTGAGCCGGCTCAAACCGCCACGGCTAAGCCAACTCAACACTTCACTGGCAAGCCCGATGGACCCGAACCAACAGTAACAGCTAAACCCACTGATTACTTCACCGGAAAACCCGATGGACCCGCTCAAAATGCCACCGGAAAAGCAACCCAACACTTTACCGAGAAGCCGGATACACCACCTACCAAAACAATCAAAACTATCGAACCTATCAAGACTTCTATCGTTTTCACCGATAAGCCAGAAACTGTTCCAAGAACATTCACAACCATGTACAATAATGGTGGCCAGGCTACCCCAAGTTCCGTTCTGATCAATACTTATGGACCGGCTAGTAGCAGTGTTAGTGTAGATCCCGTGCCAGTCGGTACTGGGAAGCCTGTTGGAGGAAGAGGATTTTAGGTCTTGTCGTTTGAGGAAAGTGGGGTTCGTTTGGTTGTTTGTATTTAGATGAGTATGGGGAGAATGGTGTGAAGAGGTGGGATTCTAGGTGCTAGAGAGTATTTCTTGTTGTTTTTGTACTGATTTTGTTTTTTAAATTGAAGAAGTGATTGAAGGGTATGGTTTTGAGAGTTGATTGATTCGGATATGTAGAAATGTATATTAAGCACGATAGATATAAATTTGAGAAGAGATTCGGGGATAAAACTACTGATTCATCTTATTGCATATGTTAAGTTTACAACAAATACCTAGGTATACGAAGCAACATGCAATGTTCGCCCCAGAAGAACAACTTCCAGAAGTAGAACTCCTTTGGAGAAAATTATCTGGCCAAAAATAGTTTTGAGCCTAGTGGTCCCGAAGTTTCGGGACCGATCATCCCATCAACGCTAAATAGTGCTTGCGTATTTTTGGGCCACCAACTAGTTACTGGCTAGTTATTTTCTCTCCGGTACGTGAAATCGGGTGATATTCTTTGGTAAAACGTAATGTCACGAGCTTTTTAGAAAGGTGTTTTGCCATAATCTCAATTCGACTGTCTGGAAAATGGATGGAGTTTGTGGGGATGATGTCATACACAGTTGAATTTTCTTGAGAATTCATATGTTTTCACAGTGTAAATGTTATGCCGAGGATTAAGGGCGGATTGGTAGTTGCATTTCTGAAATATCCTGATAATTTGTGACAATTATGACGACGGGGGAGTTTTCGTGGTGATATATAACATGGAGAGGAGAGTGTTTCGTTCGATGACTCAAAGAGGAATACACCGACTATACTTTCCAATATCTTGAAATTATCAAATAAACTCATTCAGCTTCTCAAAATATGGCATATAAAATCACAGAAAAGGAAACCCAGCGGTTGGTTTATAACCATTCAATGGTACGCACGACGAGATACTTGCTCGTTTCTGCGTTTCTGAGTTATGTAAAGGTTGGCCTTTGTACCGTGATGCGTCAGAATGGACGAATCATCGAAGTATATTCACCAAAGAGGGTACTAAGATCTGGACTTGTAAGTAATTACATAACATCTCCAGGCTTTCACACCAAGGAAGATGCTGATAACAGAACAGCATGGAGTGGAGGGAAGGCCATTGATGATTTTATCAGCGTATCCAAGGAAGGAAGAAAGAACGGAGATTTCATCATGCACCACGAAAATGGAACATTAGTCGACCTCAACCTTCCTCTTGGTCGAGCCATTGGAAAATGAAGGCCACAATTACTCAACGATTCGTTATCGAGGATACCTCAATCGATGCAGAATATGATTGCCGATTTATCTTCTGGTGTATTATCGAAGATGGCGAATGTAAAGTCGAATACAATTGTTGATTCTATGAAAAAGATAAGGTGATTGCGGCTGATGAAAAGAATCTTCCAGGTATTTTCACCAAAGAGGAGTTAGAGAAATAACCAGAGGGGTATAGATATTTAGCTGTTGCACAACATAAAATTGGACATTCGATTTTGGAGGATTCACCAACTATGATGGGAAGACCTTTTGGAAAGATGTATGAGGCTATGGCAGCAAGGTTAAGAGGCGAGGATGTCGACCTAAACTGGGACTAAGCAGTTGTAATCAGAGGACGATTTGTGATGGATTTGGAGAGTATTTTGGATTTATAACAGTAACAAACTTGATGCATATCATGTATTAGCTCCAGCCAACTAATTTGAACGTCTGCATTCAAAGCTAGAAGATAAGGAAAGACCTTGCAACTTTCGAGACTTCAAGAGCTTCAAGAGTGTTCCTGTGTAGAGCAATACATCATAATCTATCCTATGAATCTTCGAGCTGAACTACCGAGGCTGGTATGTGTGCCTTGGATCGACGAAGCTGTAATTCATCTTCAATGAGGATGCAATCTGAGCATCCTCGGATCTCAAACCAGATACAGTGGTAAATGGGAGACATGTTATAAGCATACCAATGCCGCGACATAGCTTACGACACACCCAGTACTAATCGATGGCATTCAACAGACCATTCAAGGATGGAATGAATACAGTATCTTCTTTGGTGGATTCATTGTGTGTGAGATGACATTCGTTATCGATCACCCAAGCCTCCAATAAAGAAAAGATCGATAATTATCAAAGTGTTGAGATACAACGCTAAGAAATATTTGCTGACTAATCTCAAGTCCCCACATTTTCTGTGGGTTTGGTGTCTCGTTCAAATTGATATTCGGATTTCAACATCATCAGAACCTCAATTCTTTCCTCAATATTGACATCATGGCTGTGAAAAACGGACCCGGAGGTATCAGCAGTGACCCAAATGTTAACTCAACATTGGGAGACATAGAAAAATGGATCAAGAACAGAGATTCAAGCAAGAACAACAACTTAGTCGCCGCAGTGGTGGGATGTGGTGAGTCAGAAAATTCACATGATAAGGAAAGTCACTCACAAAGTTCAGGAAACATGGGTAGTTCTATCCTTACTGGTATTCTTGCTGCCAATTCACTGCCAGATGCAAGGGATAACACACCAGTTTCACATATAATTGCTTGTACCAAGTCAGAAGCTTCAGCTTCCAGAGTATACTCGGCATCAAAAGAATCCAAGGCTGCAGACAGACTCGCCGTCTTCTATGATAACAACTTAAAAGCTTTTCAATTGGCTGATGTTATCATTCTGGCATGCAAGCCATATATGGCCGAGGAAGTTCTCGGAGCTCCTGGTGTTGGTGATGCTTTAACAAACAAACTTGTCATCTCAGTCTTGGCAGGATCGACAACTGAGCAGTTGAAGGAGTTTGCGTTCAAAGGTAGCTCAGAGACAAAAGGGTGCGCATTTGTTAGAAGCATGCCAAATCTTGGTGCACAAATCAAGGAATCATCAACCGTTATCTCAACTGGATCGGAAACTATTTCTCCAAAATACGAAGAGGCTATGAAATGGATCTTTCAAAGTATTGGAAAATACACGTATGTACCCGACAATGTATTCCAAGTTGCAGGTGTCCTTGCTGGTTGCACTCCAGCATGGTTCCTCACTGCCTTTGATGGAATCCTCGACGGTGCTGTTTCCGAAGGAATGAGACGAGATACCGCCACTGAAATTTTGGCTGGTTCTATGCTTGCAGCCGCGAAGTTAATACAGAATGGTGAACACCCTGCTGTTCTGAGAGAGAAGGTTTCATCTCCCAAGGGTACCACAATTCAAGGTCTTAAAACTATTGAGAAAGGCGGTGTCCGATCAACATACTGTGATGCAACCATTGATTCGGTTCAACACGGATTGAATATGGGCAAGAAGTAAATACTTTCTTGTCTTTGTTGGGGACTGGTTTGACGCTTGATGATCCGACACGATATTTTACTTGAGATTGGACGCCTTGAAGCACTCATGCCATTTATTTCTTGCTCTACTTTTCACTGAACGAAGATATAAATCCGATAAAAGGAGCTCGGTCTTCGGGTAGAATAGAACATCGTCTAAATAAGCTAAATTTTTATCGAAGTTTTTACCGACCTAGATATAGTTCCTCGGATATTTTCTTCTGATTTATGACACTAATATTCTAGGGGCGTGACAGACGGCTGGCCAAAAGGCGCAAAGTATACACTCTGGACTTCGATTGAAACGAAAGATAGTTCGTACTTTATTTTCACTTTGCCTCCCAACAACTACTCTGAAGATTCCTTCTCTTCAACATTGTTTGACGTAATGGAGTCGAATGATAATGATCGGCAAACAAAAGTGGCTCGACGGAAGGTTCGCCAACACGTTTCTTTTACCAACTACCCTGACTGTTTCAAGAATAAGATGTCTAGGCATACCCCCCTCGGTACTCCTTATCACGGAAAGCGAGGAGCCAAAGGATCGCCGAGTCGATCTGTGCTCTATAATCCATTTACCACTCAAATCCAGATTCCTATTCTGGACTTATGCATATGAATGTCACAATAAACTAAACGATAAGGACCCACCCTCCCGATAAGGCAATACTATGATATCGATATGCGGGGTCGAAGTGCCATTACGAGGTGGATGCATGCTAATATACACCCCATGATACACGAACCAACTGTTGTGTAGAACGATCAGGTTGATAAGTGATAGTTTCCGGATATAACACAGGGTTTATACTATGTAGGACCCAGGTAATGTTTACTTCGAGACTCTTGATCTCTTGGTCTTTCTTTCTATCTCGAGTGTGCTATCTACCTTCATTGAAATGTTCTTACGACGATCTTCTAGATTTCTTTCACTTATACCAAAGAGATATTACATACCATCTCTCAAACACTATTCATCCATTACCTCAACTATCTCTCCTCAAAATGGGTTTCCACACACACACACACCCACCCCCACCCCTCCTCCCTTCAGCACTTCTCCAACCTCCGAGCTTCCACCCCTCTCCATAATGCCGCTTCCTCTCCTCCTCAAATCCTACCTCATAACCTCCATTCTTGCCTCCCCAAAAATTATCAAGTTCTTCCTTCCTCTTCTCAACAAACTCGCAAATTCCAGCTCCACGATCTTAAATCCCGATAGAAATCCAGTGTTGCATATGATCGTCCGAAAATTCATCTACGATCATTTCATTGCCGGGGAAAATGCTACTCAAGTGAGAGCTCGGGTGAAAGAAATGAAGGGATTGGGATTTAGCGGGGTGATATTGGGATATGCGAGGGAAGTTAATGTTTCTGGGGGAGAAGTGGGCGGAGACGTATCAGGGGTGAGCGAGGAGGTAGGGGAGCGAGCTATTAGGGAATGGAGAGATGGACTCATGAGTACCCTTTCTTTGTTACAACCCGGAGATTTTCTATCGCTCAAGTAAGATTTCCCCCTCTCTCTTTTGAACATCAATAACAGCATCAATATTTTCAAATCCCAACAATCAAACCACTAAACCTCCCACCCCTAGATTCTCAGGCGCAGGCCCCCTAGTCCTCCACGCCCTCCAAAACTCCCTCCCCCCACCACCCCTCCTCCTCCAATCCATGCATCTACTCCTCCGCACCGCCGCCTCCCAATCCGCGCGTATCTGGCTCGATGCAGAACAACAAGACTTGCAACACACCATCGAGTCATGGACTATCGATCTCATGCGCATCTACAACACCGGATCCCAAGCATTACTCTACACAACCATGCAAGCATATTTAAAATCCACCCCATCGAATATCCTGAGATGTTTAAAACTCGCACAGAAAGAGAATTGGGTGCTGGGCATAAAATTAGTCAGGGGTGCGTATATTGCTACCGAGAAGCGGGAGTTGATATGGGGAAGTATTGAAGAGACACATGAGGCCTATAATGGAATTGCTGCTGGTTTGTTAAGTCTATCGTATCCGGGGATGGATGTCGAGAAAAATACTGCAATTAGAGAAAAGACAGAGGGAATGGGAAAAGAAAAAGCATATCCGCGCGCAGAATTATTCCTCGCCACGCACAACGAAGAGAGTATCAAAAAAGCCTATACACTTCAAAGCTCACGAATCCTGTCCGGAAAACCCACAATCGAATTGGCGTTTGGACAGCTACAGGGAATGGCCGATGAGATCAGTTGCAGCTTACTACAACTCCGTCGAAAAGAATCCCAGGACTCGAGAAGTGAATCACTAGCTTCCAAAGGTCTTGTGAAATCAGAGGAGGAGTTCAGATTAACGCAGGAGTTAAAACCAAAAGCGTATAAATGTATGGTGTGGGGATCTACGCAGCAGTGTCTACAATTTCTATTGAGGAGGGTAAAGGAAAATGGAGATGCGCTTGGAAGGACGGGGTATTGGGTTGAAGGGTTTAAGAGGGAGATATGGAGGAGGGTGAGAAGTTCTTCTGGGATGAAGAGGAGGAGAGTTTTGGAGAGTGCTAATGAAGGGATGGTTCGGAAGAGGGTTTTGTGAGAGGATGCGTGGTTCTGTAGAGGGAGATCAAGGAGAAAGGAGTTGTGGAATATGTATGGAGAAGTTTGGAGTTGGAGTTTGTGATTTGGTGGAGAGTAGTTGAGTTAGTGAATACGTTATATGTTTTGACAATCCAGGTTTTGAAAGCTCTACACACAATAGAGTGACTTGTATAAGCTATACCAAAAAGCCAGAAAAAAAAATTAGAAGTTACTTTATAACTCGTGCAACCCATATCCGAACGGAAGTGACAAGCAATTCGATTGATATATCATGGGGCGATGTCCTTGATACAAGTGACGAGATGGACTCGATTGAGCTATAATACTAAACCACTACCTACATCATGCTACTTCTGTCGGATTAGTACCGTACCAGATCTAAAATAGCAGATGATGTGAAAAATATCAATACCAATGATTTGCAGATAAATACATACCAGCTACCATATCGAATCAATTAACACCCCCTCATCCACAAGCCTACGAGTATTATTCCTCGTCACTTATATTCTCAACTTAAGAATTATATCCTCCCAGCCGAACGGATTACTTCACTCCCATCCTAAATATAAGTACAAATAAACATACATATACGTCATCCCAATCTCATCTCAAGTAATTCTTACAAAGGGTGCTCAATTCATGGTATCATATTCTACACCCCTACCTCCATCCATCCATTGACCAAGCACAAAACAGTCTGTCTATATATTCTCCTCTCAGCTAAACCCTAGCTAATCCAGTAAATCCATCAAGTCCAGTGTATACAGTCCCGGCCAATCCAGCAATTCAACTATCGATCATTCATCTATCGTTACAGACAGCTCCAATACTCATTCTATCTCTATTGAGAACGATAATTGTATCTCCAGCATTCCCACTCCCACTCACTCCCATATCCTCGAAACTAATTTCCATACTATTCCGTTTACTTCTCGTTCCATACGAATGTTTCATCGCCTGTACCTGTCTCGACTGCACCACGATAGTATTTTGATCCTCTTCCAAAGCCGGTTCGAGCGGCAAACTAGCCCTCTCCCTCTCCCCTCTATCAACCATCTTTCCCTTTCCTTTCACCAAATCTTTCCTTCCTGATTCCGGAGATCCAGTGGGAGGCAAACTGCTCAAACTCATTCCTTTTATGCTAATACTAGAATCTAACAGTCCTCGCATATTTGGCAGACCAATTCCTTCCAATGCACCCTCTATGCCAACATCTGAGAAAGATCTCTTGTATCCAATGCTGTTCCCTGGTACATTTTCGGCAAGTCGTTCAAATGGTACTCTGCCGCGTAAGTCCTCTAGAAGTTCTTCGGAGAGCGTGTTGTTGGTGAGTCTGCGGACGATTTTCAAGAGAGAGTCTTCAAGCCAAGCACCACTTCGATGTGGTTCGGCTGGACAAATTTTCGCGGGAGTGTTGTCGGGGATAGTTTTCCGTCTTTGGGATTTGCTACTTGTGGAAGTTGTGGGAACTTTGATGGTCGATGAAGCTGGGAGAGATTTTCGACCTTTTCTAATGGGTAACACTGACGCTCGAGGCTTCTTAATCGGTTTCTTTTCTGATATTTGTCCAGTCGAAGCTCTGAAAGGCTTACTACGATCGAAAGGCACCCAGTACATTGGCCGTACTGATCCATTCCCTTCGGCATCCTTGAGTTTCCGCAGGTCGTCAAGGATCTTGAATGTGAAATGAACTGCATTGGTCTTATCGTCTCTCTTACACTGTGGACGGTATGGTGGTATTTTATCAGATGTGTTACGCTGCCTGGAAGGCGCCGGTTCCTTGCTGGCAACGGTTTGTGTGACATTTGTATATGGCTGCCAGATATCACTTCGTCTCTTTTTCAAGTCCAGCACCCATGCATCACAATCCCATTCTACCCAATAGTCGATCACATCGCCCCATTGACTCTCGGGTGGCTTCGTTTGATTAACGAAAATGACACTTCCTCCTCTAGCATGTACAGCTTGTGCGAATTCTTTAACCATAATCTTGAGCCCGTGAACTCTCAAGCTAGTACCAAGAATAAGAAGGACATCTGGACCTAATTTTAGATCGTGAATAATTAACGGCCCCACCAAATTTGCGTGCGGATGTTCTTCTCCATAAAGAACAATGTCAGGCCTCAATCTCCCCACAGCTAAACCTCTACGACCTTTGTCTTGACGTGATATAGAGCTTGAAATACAAGAAGGACAATCGGGAGCGGACCCAGCCATTGTAGTAGTCTCCCTATCTTCTTCGTCCCAACTGGTAAGTTTCGAACATACACCGCATCGCAACTTACGAAGTGACCCGTGTAGCAAAACGCACTCTACTCCAGTTGCAGCAGGGGCTTCTTTTCCTCCTCGTTCATCTGCTCCAGCTGTGAGTGATTTGCCCTGGATTTTGGTTTGAAAACGCGTGCGATCACCCGCGCCAAGTTCGAGATCCGTAGTGAGTCCCTCGCGTTCTTCGAGGCAATCGATATTTTGTGTGTAATTCCGGACGAGGCGACCGTTGTCTCTGAGAGAGCGGATAAATTGGTGGGTGGTGGTGGTAGACTTGACATCGTTATTAATTCTGCGACGAAAATTGGAGATGAACATGTAAAATATAGAAGTTGAGAAAGGATCGGACCAAATGACTGAGTCAAATAGATCTTTTCCTTTGAGATTTGGTAATGTACGTGATGAAGCTGATTGAGATGATTGTGAAGGAGGTTCTTCAAATTCGGAAGCAGTTGTGACGGAACTGACTTCACTCAACAAATTTCGTTTGTTGTTGTTGCTGTTGTTGTTGTTGCTACTACAATCACTTGATGAAACTGAAGGTGTGGCGCTGCCAGTTGTAGATGCACTTTCAGTATTTGTGGTTGAAGAGAGTTTGCTATTGGAAAGTTCAAATGCAGGTGTATTTCTTCGAGAAGATTTTCTGAGAAGTGAAGAGGATTGTTCTGTCAGTTGTGGAGGTAAACTATCAGCTCGTGATTTCACTGATTGTCGTGACGTCTTGCCTTCGACAATTGAACTGGCGACAGAAGGTATAAGTGACGAAGACCTTTGAAGTGTTCGTGATTTTGAAGGAATAGATTTTGGATTGGTGGTTGAGGCTTGAATCGTTGACCGAAGACTACTTTCACGTCGTAGTGAATTTGATGAGGAAGAATCGGAAGAAATTCTTGCCGTATTGGAATTTTCATCTTTCGCTGTAGATAAGGGAGAGCTTGTTCGGAGTGAACGTCGAGTTCGTTTTTGTTTGTTGTCAATTGACTCCAAGTCCTGGGGCAACCGAGAATATTCCGATGAATATTGAGATGAATATTCACTCGATTCTTGAAGTAATTGTTGTGAAGCATTCTCTTCAGTATTGGAACCTTCCGAATCGAGCTCCATTTCCATTGAAGGATTTATTTCTTCATGAGATTTAGTATCTTCAATTTGAGATACTCGTCGATTGGGGTTTTCGGTGGTAATACACTCAACTTTGGATTTGGCACATGGTTCACAGCTTGGTCGGGTATCACCACACTTGATCTTTCGAACTCGACACCTATCACAAGCGCGAATAGCCCGAAGTTTGGAAGACTTGCCCTTGGTGTTGGATTTTGGCGATTCAATCTTGATATCATCTTGTGCCAGAATAGAAGTTCGAGACCTGGAAGCTTGCCTTTTCGGGGGCAACTGATGTGTTGTATTGGTGGGAGTCGCCTGAGAGAGAGAATCATGCAGATTATGAGCAGATTGACCCTTCGAACTTGGTTTTGGAGATTCTTTGATAGATTTGTCCTGCGACGAAGAAGCGTTTCGAGTTTGGCGTTTCGGAGGTATTATTGGTGATTTGTTGTTTGAATTCTCGTTTGTGATCGGGGTATTAGAATTTATGGCAGATGGGGTTTCCACACTCGGTTTCTGAGATTCACTTTTGAGATTATCTTGTATCAAAGATGTATGCCTGCGAGAACTTCTTCTCGATGGAGCTAGAGCAGGGGTTTCTGGTTGCGCTGAAGGTTCTTTTGATGGCGATTGAGAGGATTGTTGAGAAGACTGCTGGGATGACTGCTCAGAGGGTTGCTGAGGGGGCAACTCAGATGATTCTTCAGGTGGCAGCTCTACTCTTACACCATCAGCTGTCACAAGCTCGTAATAATAGCGCTCCGTGACACGTCTTTTCTTCTTCGGTCGATCATCAATATCATAATCATTAATTTCCCAAGGCGGATTCTCCAGTGCAGCATCATATTGGGCTTGTATCATGGAATATAGTCCATGTTCGGAACGAAAGTCCTATTTGCTGGGTTAGCAGTAGTCAAAGGGTAATTCAGGCTGCGGTCCACATACAGGTATTCCGACATTCGTACTGATTCCAGCTCCTGTCACAACCACAACTTTCCTTGATTTCGCAAGGACATCTGCAATTTCCTGCAATTCAGCAGCAGAGGTTGGCAAGACATTGATTGTTGGCATTGTTGCGGCAAGATAAACAGACTATTACTGCTCTATTCCTCTCCGTTTCCTCCTCTCTTCTACCAAATTCGAGTCTTAGTTGATTGCGCTCCGAGTCTCAAGATTTCGGTATTGAACCGGTGCCTTGCGCTAGTTGAATATGCGATCAAGACGGTATGCCTGGGCCTCACTTCCAGTTCAGGTCATTTCGAACATAGCGCACACCACGTAGACGAGGGGGGGATCGGTCTATGTCGCCAAATTGTTGTGCGTGATCAAGTCCAGGTTTTCGTAGTGAATGCCGCAATGTTGATCGATCTTAAACCTCGGAACGTCACTTCAGTCTTGGAGAAATGCAAATAACCAAACCAAGTCCTTCTAACTAACGCCAATAACCCCAGTTGATGTTTCGTTTCGCGACTCCGATGCGTTGTCAAACGGTGGATAGTCGCTGAGAAAAGTGGTTTTCAAGTCGTACAATTCGCCTCAGAACATTGGCAGGGCTTCGGAGTCGAGTATGAGAGGTATTAATAAATAGCTTTAAGGGCAAGCTCTCCCTTTCCCAATGGGTGAATGTTGCAGATAGTTCGAGATTTGACGCGCAGCAAGATCCCTGAATTTCCCAATTCCCTGTATATTGATATAAAGTTCGAATCGATTTGTTGTCCAAGGTTTTGCTTCTCTATTTCCCCATCTAAAGTCTTTGGAAATGACTGAGCTGGATCGATTGGGATTCAAGAAGAATCTCATAGGAAACAGGTTGTTGATTGTGATGTTTACTTTCATCTAAAGTTTCATGTCCTTTGTATGGTAGACGCGATGTGTTGCCGACCCCGACCCCAACCGCGTTCTGCCCCACAAATTTGCCAGCCCGTTTGTTTCTCACGTGCTTTGATCTATCTCAGCACCTTGACTCGAGCTTGGCTTGGGTCTCACTCAATTCTTCTTGGTCACTGATTTTGACGGTCAACAAAATAACCATGACATGATGAGATATGTCAAACTTTTGAAGTGTAATTTACTGTACCAAGTAGTACAAGATATTATGCAGATATTACTCATACTTTCCAGTGAAAGGTATGACAAGATGGCATGCCAGAGTTTGCTGCTTGTCTAGTCATAGAACTGCCCGACCTGATGTTCTCTTTATTCATCTTAATCTTGTGAAACTACTGTCAGCTCTTCCCATTATCTAAGATTGCCTTTCTATATATATAGTGTTTGCAGAACAAGCAATGAACTGTTCAGAAATTGCTGTCATGAACACGACCAAATATGACTCCTTTCTAGGGCGAAAATAGAGGCTATTATTCCAATTGCTGGGAAACCCTCACAAACTATCTAATTTGCTATGCTCTGCTATGGTGGTCAAGTGAGCCTTATGCATTTGACAACAGTTCAAAGAGCAAGCTCTGAGAGTGTTCGGTCCAACCGAGTCAAACCTATGTCTAGAAACCTTTATATGTAGTCATTATGCGATGGTCTTTGATTTTTTGTCCATACTTTTCTTACATTCGTTTGGTTGGTTCATACATCAGCATCCATTTCTTGTTTCCACCATGCCAGAAAAGAAGAAGAATTTACAGTTCATTTGGCCCAAAGATGGTCCCAAAGGTCGTGGTCATCGAGGATTTCTGGGAAGGCTCAATAACGTTGTGACGAACAAGGGTCCAGATATCTTTGTCGGGAAACAAGGAAGCAGAATCAGTCCCGATCGATGGCAGAATTGGTAATCTCTGTGGTGAAGACATCGCATTTGATCTAGCTGACTCTCCGTCAGGGATTCCTACCACGATGAACGCAAGCATAAACAAGAAGTAACCGGAGCATTCTCAAGAGATTTCAAAAGATATGATCCACATACACGAAAATATGTTGAATGGGAACAGCCTCAAGATTGGAACGGTTATGGAATCGGAAATCATGCATGGGAATATCCACGTTTGACCCTGGACGAATATAACAAAATTTACAAGACCTATCATCAAGGTCGGCGAATTGATCCTTCCACGTTCAAAGATTGGAATCATAGCGGTCCTAACGTAAGTAACCTTTTGTGTTTAGAGTTTTCAGTGGCTGAGAAATGATGCAGAGATTCCGACAAGAATACGATAGCTTTTGGCAAAGTGCTCATCGAAGAGGAGAGAATTATAAGTATGGCTGGAACTATTTGCGGGGAGCGAATAATCCATGGTTAAGAATGCATCAACAATGGCCTACAGATCTTGATACTTGGATGGCGATGCGTGGGATGTGGTAGATGCGGATGAATTTGCTTAAGGAGGGATCAATTTACAGAACCATATGACGTATAAGGGTGTTTCTTACGATCGGTTCGCTGCATGATTAAGGAGTGAATTAGTTATTAATTCTGCATATAGATTTTATCAAAGTATGGCTAGTCTTGAGCATCACAAATTGCAACATTGTGGCTAGACCTCATGTGAAGATGTTTGAGCACGATTAGAAACACTTCACACAAGAGTTGTTCTTTTCTTTCCATTAGTTACGATAGCGGTCTCATGCATGGCACCTACGAGGGCGACATTATGATCCAATGAGTCATTATTAACCTTAGAGATGCAAGACCATACCTATCTCCGGTTTATTTTATCTCCGGATCTCTACAAGCACACAATATATGCCTGTTAGACGTTACCTAGCATCCCATTACGCTATGTAATACTCAACAGCAAACGAACCATAGGCTATCAACAACATTTACCGAAAATACGACAATCTGCTTACACACGTATAAGATTTCCCGGCCAACAACCAATCAAACCCGTATTTGGAATCACAATCGACAAGTTATTAAATTAGCCACCCCAGCTCTACACCCCTCGAATGGGTAACACGAGATCTGTCAGCTCTTTCTAAGAGCAACCCGAAAAGGACTCGTATACACACAACTCCTATTGGATAAACGATCCATTCGGTAAGGGATTTTTGAATTCTCGAGTAGAATCATGAATGGAGAGCTCGTCTATCTACGACCAATGATGAGTATGGATTTGATTTCGAGGGGTTATAAAAGATGTATGGTATCTGCGTTGAAGAGATGAAAGTATAGAGAAAAATATCTTTACAGTTATCTTCAATACATACTTCTAGCACTCCAACATCATCACTTCAAAATGTTGCAGCAGTACGAAAATACTCACACCAATCAAACTATTAAACATACACATCCAAATCTCCAAGCATGTCTCTCGCCTCCCAACTCGCCGCCATAACCACTCAATTCGAAGCCACCGCGCCCTCCCACATCAAAGACCCTATCAACAACAGCAACACCCATTTCCAAGAAACCTTCTCTCCCAGGCTCGCTCTCCAACCCGGCTCTCCCTCCCCCCCATCACCCTCCCCAACGCCCTCGGAACCCCCATTTCCACCCTCCTCATAACCTTCTACCGCGGCCCCTGGCATCCCTTCTGCAACCCCGCGCTACACACTCAACAAACCCACCTCCCCTTCTTCACCGCCACTCCATTACACTCCTCGCCATCTCCCCAAATCCCCGACCCACCAATCCCTCAGCACCGTTGAAAAACACAACTTCCAATTCAAAGTGCTCTCGGATGTCGAAAACGTCCTCGCGAGAAACCTCGGGATTTTGTTTCGGCAAGCAGCCCGAGGAATTGAGACTGTTTGAGGAGTTGGGTCATGATTTCGAAAAGAGTAATGGCGATGCGAGTATGGATATGCCGGTGCCGGCGACGTTTTTGGTGGGGAGAGACGGGATTGTGAAGAGGAGTTTTGTGGATCCGGATTGGACGAAGAGGCTCGAAATGAGTGTGGTAATGGGGTGGGTGGAGGAGTTGGAGGGGAAGGAGGAGTTGTAGAGGACTTTGGTGGGGAGTGTGAATAGGGTTGATGATTGAGGGTGAATTGGAGATTTACTGATAAATGATGGAGAGTGATCGAAGACTAGAATTAGAAATGAAATAGCTTTATCAGCAAATAACCTGACGGATTCGCGAATGTGACTTTGATTTTTAAGTTTATGAGACCTGCCTTGCTAGTTTACCTCAGAGTTGACTTCAAAGAAATAACACCGGTGTAGGTATGTATTTGTAAATTCTGATTGAAGATTGATTGTTCGCTTGATAGAAAGGTCTTTCCACTCTACTCTACATAAACAGCACCAAAAAACCCCCAATCACTAATATTCGATGGTATCTCTCTTATTATCCGAAAAATTCAACATCTTCAATTCCATTACATCATCTCAGATTTCTCTTCTCCCTTTTGTTTCAGGTCTCCTCCAAAAACCCCCCCCTTAACTACCCAACCCCCAAATCTTCCCCCACCTCCTCCAATCCCCCTCAATCGGCCCATTCAACCTCCCAAACCTGGCTCCTTTCCCCGTATTCGCCTCCGGTAAACAAATCCACTCCCTCACACTTCCCGGTATCTCTTCTCTCACATGACTAATACAAAGCAGTGCTTGATTCTGACTCAATCCTTTAACCTTTACTCTTCCTTCCTTTGAGATATTTGATTCAATAATCTGAAGATTCTTTGTTTTGGCTTCCGTTTTATCGGTAGATATTTCATGTTGAAAATTTGCGAATTGTTTTTCTTCACCATGGGCTAGGAATAAAAGACATCGATCACGAATACCATCGTCCATACCGCTGAATGCTTCATCTAGAATGACTAAATCTGGTGTTTTGATTATGGCCCGAAGAAATAGTGCTACTCTTTGAGATGAAAATGGCATTTCGCGAAACAAAATATCATCAGCCCAAGATAGAGATTCATTCCCATTATCTTGACCAGTAGCTCCTCCTAACCTCAGATCTTGTTCAAACCATCGCAATGCTGCATCTATGCGTTCATTCGCATTATCATTTAATTTTGGTATTCCCATAAAAGTATCTGCCCAAGCATTGGCGAGAACCTTCCTCAAAGTCAAATTACGAGGGATATGATTATGAATCTCGGGACTGGAGTGACCAATTCTGGATTGGAGATCAAAGATCGATATTCCAGGCTTTCCAGGCTCCGGTAATCTAGACTTCCCAAATAGACGGATGGGAAGAGAGTAGGTTTGAGGGTGATCAGAACAGATCAGAGATAGAAGAGTTGTTTTTCCAGAACCATTTGGACCGAAAATACCCCATCTCTCACCTCGTTTGACGTTCCACCATAAGCCATCTTTTTGGACACCGTTTACATTCTCAGTCCAGTTACCAAGAACAGATTTATCTCCGTACTTTACTCGAGCACCTTCCATCTCGATGAGTGCTTCACCCGTCTCTGGTGGCTTGATATCATTCAGAGGGTAACCATCACGACTCATTGGACCTTTCTTTTCCGGAACATTCTTTGCGATGTCGGTTGAATTGCCACTTGTAGCCACACTTTTCTCAGAGTCAGGCTGCTTAATCCCCTCCAAAGTTAACTTCCTCCCAATCTCCTTCAAAGACGACGGCGTCAAATGAAGACTTAAATCATCACTTCCATCCCTACTCTTCCCAACATGATCTCTCAATTGACCCAAAACATCATCCTTTGGTCCCAAGAAAGCAACTTCACAATTCCCCTTCAAATATACCAAGTCCGTAATCCAATGCGGTATAGGATCCTGCGGTCTCAACGACAAAACAAGTCTCGGAGTATTCGCCCTAGCTAATCGATGCAACATCGGACTTAAAGTTAACAACGTAGGAGGATCCAATCCCATGAAAGGTTCATCCAAGAGCAAAACTTCTGGATTTTCCAACAACGCTCTCGCAATTCTCGATCTTCTCGTTTGTCCATTACTCAGATTCGATACCGGCATATTCAATAACTCCCCCAATCGTAAATCATTTATCACACGAACGAGTATCTCTGGATCAAATCCATTACCATCTATCTTCGTCGAAGGATTAAGCTCCGTATTCCCTTGTAAGTAATCCCATACACTAAAATCTGTATCCTCTCTCCTCGACTCATATCTCGCACTCAGATATGCACTTTTCGGAGCCTGTTTTCCCAATCCTTGTTCCCCATCAAATCCCACATATTTGATCGCCTTTGTCGGAGTTCGTGGCTTGGAGGCATCGCTACTAAGGTATGGATATGATCGCGCTGTTGGGGGAATACATAAAAGACCTCCTCGTAAAATCTGCAATAATGTAGTTTTCCCAGATGATGAAGCTCCAAGTATAGCCCAGTGTTTCTCCCTTTCTGAAAATGAAGGTATCTCAAAGTTCAATTTCTCGAACAAAGCAGGATTCGCATGTCCGGGAACATGATGATTTGAATTTGGATGATGCCGATAAAATGTGCCGTTGTTGATCCTAACGATTGGTGGATGAGTTGTCCTTGTTCTTGTGCTTGTGCCATATCGACGCAGCGGCAAAGCCTTGCGATTCCATATCATAGGTCTCCCCATTGCGTCTTGGTATAACTCGAGTTTCCATTTTGAAGAAGACAATTGAGTCACTTGTGAAAAAGGGAAAGAGAGCCGACCCCGGAACGCGGGGAAAGCTTTTGATGATCCACCATTAAAGTCTGTACCTGGACTTTTTACTACAAGTTAGTTGGATTATTAGATTATTTTTAAGTATAAATATAATAACCAGAAAATGGACTCCTTATTCTTACTTGAATGTAGTAATTCAATGAATACACCCAATATACTCAAAATATCAATTGGATTAGTTAGATGAAAGTGTAAATTCGAAGATGTTCTACTCGTACCTCTTTAATAATTTTCCAGATAAAGCTGATAGACACATGCCAAGCATCCTTATCAAAACCTTAGCGGCGCTTAATTCCGGCCTGTTCCATTTCGCGCTTACACGTCTTCCATAGAGCAGCCTGAAGCTCTACAATAAACAGCTCCTCCATCATAATACATCAAGAATCCAGCTTTCCAACCACAATTGTCAAAGGGTACTTGCAAACTTACAATTTGTTCCCGAAATCGTCAATTCACACACTTTACTCTACTACATCTTTAGATTTAAATAAGAAAATTAATTCAAGATGGTGAGTTTCCCATCTCTCACTCGAATCCATCTATCTACACACCTACACACCCACATCCCCAACAACCATCCTCTTCCACTTCCTCCCCCTCTCCCCCTCTCCCCCTCTCCCCCATACCTCAACCCCCAAACTAATACCCCCTCCCCACAGGCAATGCGCATCGCCCCCTCCGCCTCGCACACCAGCACACACACGCACCTCCAAGAAGCCTCCCTCGGCGCCCCCTCGGCCCCCGGTCTCCACGACACTCTCCGCCACGGCGTCGGCCCAACCCAAAGCTCCTCGCTCTCCACCCTCCCCGACTCCTCGCACCCCCTCGAAAACCGTCTCAAGAAATGGGAATCCACGCAAGAATCCCTCAAGATGGCTTCTCTGCGTCGCACCTTCGGTATGAGCGAACCCATCCGTAGAGGTATGGAATTGAAGATTACGAGAGAGGGGGAGTGGAGACCGCTTGCGCTTGGAGGTGGTGGTCCAGGTATGTGTTTATTTTTATTTGGATTTTTATATACTGGGGAATTATGGGAATGCGATCTCGAGAGTAATAAAGGATTGAGAGGATTGCAAGCGAAAGACCAGCAGCAAATGGAACCAGAAACACAGTACCAAAGATCCAAAGCTAATATCTATCAATATAGGTCTCCACGAAGAAATTCTACGAGGATCCGACACGACGATTAGCTGGGAAGATGTATTCAAAGGTGACGAGACAAGGACATTACCCGGTTTCCACGAGGAAGTGGAGAGGAAGGTTAAGATGGGTTTCTAAATTAGACATTGGATTTCTATCTATTTATCCTGACTCTGAATCTTGATGGGATGGGATGTGGATATGGATTTAATACAAGCAATCGAGTTTGATGGATGCATAAGTTCATCTTGCAGTGAGGATGAAAGTCACGAATGGTAGATGGGCATCTGGAGAGGAAGAAAGGAGAGTGCTGCTTGCTCGCTTTGCTGCTTTTACTTGCTTGTTCATTTTCGTATCACGCAAATACCAAATTCAATTATGCAATGACGTTGAACGAAGAATACTTTACCATCCCATTCCTTCCTCGTAACCTCCATGAAATGCAGGTGTGATTAGAGATTATATCAGAAGCCCTTGTCCAAAAAGTCAAGTCAAGCAGATAGGATAAACATTCGCTGTTGCGATCCAGAACATCATCTGTATTGTATTGTTCCCTAAATGATTCCCAAGTTCCCTTTCAAATATTTCACCTTTCCCAAACGCTAACCATGTCGCTCGCTATCAATCAAATCAATCAAGAAAAATCAATTCGCCAATCATCCCTCTGTCCACCCCCTCCGCCATCTCACACTCCATGCGCAGTTTCCTGATGTCCCAAAATCCATATATGATCACACATCCATCTTATTATACACAACACAACATACAACCCACTCTCGTTTTCGTTTTCGCCCACTCCGCCTCCACCCGCTCAAATGCTGTATTAACAAAGCTTCACATCCCATATGATGCCGTGACCCTTTTATTTGAAAACGCTCGATAAACCGTATAAAGAAAGCAAAATAGGGGAAAGTCACCCTTCAATCAAATTGAACCCGCAACGCCATTTTCTCGTTCGTGATGTGCCCATTCTGTTGGGTGACTTGGGTTGTGATATATGTGCTTGGCTGTATCTTTGTTCAATGAATTGGAGAATCATGTATACATATAGATTCCCCTTTCGACGCTTTCCATAGACAGAATTCGAGTTTGTGGTTTGTACGAAAATGGTGACTTTTGAATAGTCGAATTCAGAGAATAACACATCTGCATCCAGCCGTGCTTTCACCATCTTCTCCTCTTCCTCGGCCCATGGACTTCGCTTTTGATGCATCTTCCTCGTCGACTATATCCTGGGGTCTGATAGTCATATGTACCACATTTGAGGTTTCGGGATTGAATTTACATGCTATAATTAGGTGTTAGTTGAATAGATTGCAAAATTGACAAATGCCAGTCCTTGTCATAGAAATATATTGAACCAAGAATTTCAAGTGCCTCTGATATCAATCAAGTCAAGGCACTCGGACATGTAAATTGTAAATTGTCAAAACATACCTTTCAAAGGGTCCTTATCATCCAACAGCCTCCCAAAGAATATCAATCGTATACTGCTTGGGCTGCTCGGCTTTGTTTCCCATTCGTCTCTCCATTCCCTTAATATCAACTCCTTGAGCGTATATACACTGATAGTAAGAGGATCCTTCTTTCCATTTTCTGTAACCCCGGGTACCGCAACAGAGCGTTTGGTCAGATATTTCTCATCGATCTTATATGGATGGCGCGCGCCAGAGGTAAGTAGCAAGGTAATCAAGATTCTGGGCCCTCCATCAGCAGGTGTTGGTGGCGTTTTGGTGATCTCAATAGAGGGACCGATAGCTTCTGAATTCATTCGTGGTCGCGAAGTTGAAGATTCTTGAGCGTCGGAGGATGATTCGGTGGCAGGGGCTTTACCTTCGCTTTTCGAAATTATTGGTGGCGGCGCAGGCGCAGGATCAATAGATGAGGTTTCTTCGTTCGTAACGGGTTGTGCAGTCAATGCTTCTTGTGATGTCGAACCACCATGCCCGACAGAGGCATTTTGTTTTGATGAGTCCACCATCTCTGTCGTCGTATTTGTTGTTTTTGTTGTTGTTGTGGGTAAAGCTGAGGATTTGGATGGATAGGATGGATAATCGGATGTTATTGGCGATGTTTCCGGAATCGAAATATCATTTAATAGACCCGACGTTCCTGAGACAGCTTTTGAATTTTTCGAAGTATCAAGATCATCCATCTCGACTGGAGCGGTATTTAATGAAAAGTTTGTGGTTTGAATAGGATCAAGTCTATGGCCTGCGGCCGATGTCGAAGTCATAATGGCGAATGGATTGGATTGGTTGGGTTGGGTTGTTTCTGAGGTGCAGGATGAGAAGTGGAAACGGGGTATCTTAGCATCTACTGCCCCATGTAAAATGTATTGTGAAAATGGGGGGATCCACGGCTTTAGGCGGAATAAGACGGTGATTGATTGATATATCTGGGGAAAACCGTTTCTTTTATGTACGAAGTATCGTTTTAGTGTGCGAATGAGCTGGAAATGGAAATGAAGGGATTCCAGGTATTTGAGAAATGTTTGTTGTGTCTATATGAAGAAGAGGTAAGAAGAGGAACATCAAGTGTGAGGATGGAGAGAAAAGAAGAGAATGGGAAGGAGAAGGAGAAGGAGAAGGAGGTGGAGAAGGGAGAAGGGAGAATTATCAACAAATACATACCAAATACAATACAAGAGGACTTTTGACTTGGACGATTCAATTGGCTTTCATGAATTGGATTATTCTTGGTATGATACTGGTACTCGGGGATCCATTGATTGTTGATCCTTTGTGATTGAGATCTTAAGGAGATTCTCCGACTTGATGGTATCAAATGTTGCCGTATCTGTTCGAGTGTATATTGAATATACGTTGAATATATATTGAGTATGTATGTGTGTAGTGTGTAGGTATGTATGGCTCAATTGATTGTATGTATTGGATCAATTGATATAGACTGTCAATCAATCAATCAACATTGATGTCTGTTACTCGTGAATCTCCAAACCAAGTAGATCCCAAGATGAGTATTTGAATTACTAATAACTAAACTTCACTTGGAACTCTCTTCACGTATTGTTTTCGGCTTCTTCCATCCTTTCCATTTCTCTCCTTTCCTCTCCTTTCTGTTTTCAGTCTTCACTCCCTTCGTAACCTTCCCAGCTTCAGGTTAAAGTTCACGTGTAGGCAATTACTAGCAACTAGGTCATTGCCTAGTGCGTACTAAGTAATTATTAATCACATCCAAGCCCATCCACTCAACCATCCACTCAACTCGAAACCAGAAAAAGAATCTGGGGAAAGATCCAAACCAAACACATCACATTATGCCATCGCCGCTATCAATCAATCATCAATCATCAATCGTATCTCGGTACATATCATGCTTTCAGCTCCAAACATCATCCAATCTTCAATGTATCGTTTCCAGCATATTTATCTGCAATCGATCAAGTCATCAATCAAGTCTTTGGTTGTCTACTTCATCCATGCCATCCAAGCTATCAAAAGGGCAATGAAACGGTCTGAAAGATATCTCCAATAACTGATATCACACTCGTCCTCGCTGCATTCCAACTGATTATCACTCCAACTCCTTCCTCATGGCTAATTCGTGGATCATGTTCTACAACTAATTATAAGGTCAACTTGTGCTTGCTTCATCGTCAATTCTTACCTCTCTTAAACAATTAAGAACACAAAGTCGAATCTGGTACCTCTGTTTCATCTATTTCCCGAGGATTCCCATTCATATATCATGACAACAAGATACCTCAATCATAAGGCGAAAATGCTCTAACATGCTCATATTGTTCATGATAGACGATCATACCAGAACAACAGTCACAACTATTATACCAATCACACCAATCACATCAATTATGAAAGTCGAGTAAACCCTCTCAGCTGAAATGCATCTGCCCTTCTTTACGTAGGTATAACATTCTAATTTTCGCGAATTTCGACCAAGGGGGAGATTGATTCCAAGCGATCAAAGATGTGTACCAAACACGCACTATTTTACGCTCAGGCGCATAAAACTTTCGTTGTCATGTTACACACATTAACAAATATCTTTACACACAGATTGCTATGTAGGTTGTTTGCGTTAAACTTTACGAGGAAATTTGTGCTGGAGGCTGAATTGCCTTGGTTATACATATTTCTCACATTATTTACGGATCGCTCGGAGAACGAGTCGAAGTTTCAATGGTTTCCATTCCGTTCCAGAACATGTCTACCTAGTATTTCTGTTTGATAAGACCATGTTTGACTTTGCTATTACAGCTTTTCTCTACTTATTCAAGAGAGGATCCAAAATTTATGTGGATTTCTTATAGCTTTTCGATGGGTAGAATTAAAAGACTGGGACTTTAAGGTTCTACAGATGGTCTCCTGCGGACTTTCTTACTTATACTTTTTCCATACACAAGAGCAATCTTATGATTGGCATATTCTTCGTTCTTTCCTATCTCAACATTATCAATACGAGGAAATTCTAATCTTGATTGTGACACAAGGAGAAATGCTCAGCAGCATTATGTTGAGAGTTCGATTCTGTGACACAAGATGTTGCTTTGCCGCTCATAAGCAACTATGCTGAGCGATTTTTGATTGATATTCTATCAGAATATACTTTTGGGACCTGAGTTCAAAGACCGTCTCTTCCCTGACTGTTTCCAACTTGAAGATGGCAGCCCGTGTTAGCCCTTGCAGCACGGCAAGATTATCTAGGTATGCGATCCTGCAACAATTGAAGACTTTTATATCATGTCAGGAAAGCTCCTTATCACATGACAGCAAACCCATCCTGTTAAGAATGTTTACAATCACTCTCTTGATGTTCGACACTCACTTCTTACCGGTCCCTCTGAACTTTGGCCGTGGCGGTTACAACGGACCTAATGATGATTCTGAGGACGAAAGCCGACAATCTTGACAATGGTCATGCTTCTTAAGTTATATCAGATCGTATAGGCTCAACAAATTGCAGAGGGGAGTTGCGAAATCTTTTCCGTTCCCTCATGTCTAAGGCTTGCCGGGCAAATAGGTCACAAGGAGTAGCCAATGAAGATACAAGAGTTTCGAGAAGCATCAAACTATAAGATGGTCCCCCAATGTCTTTGCAGAGGACCATGGAGCATACCAAACCGAAGTTTAAGACACTCTTGTACTCAATCTGACCTTCTCTGTCACAATATTCGAAAGGGATTCACGAACTTCTCCTTATTTGACGGGCAACAACTTTCTACCTCGTCGAAACATTACTTTTCTACATATACAAGGTTTCGTCAAATTCATCGTTCGTCCGAAATCAGCACCACCCTCCTACTCAGAATTCTTCTGGACTTTATGTTTCCATTTTGATGCACGAGTCTCTTCCGCTTTCGTATAAGAAATCTATCATCGCCCATTCACTTTTCAAAATCTCAACTTCAAGATTTTGTGTGATGTTGATCATTGAGATCTGTTCAGCTCGGATTGAAAAACAAATTTCTACTAAAGGTCAAATTCGAATCGGACTACTTACTTGTACACCAAGAAGCGTGGAAGAGAGGGGACAACAGGAGGAGGGAAGAAGGTCTGGGTTTATATTTGGGGCGAGGATGATGGGCTTTAATGGATAAATGGGTATATTTTAAGAGTCACGGTTAGAGGCTCATATATGTTAATGTAATATAATTAAAGGCGTGGTAGATCTAAGATAGAGAGCTGAGGTCTGTTTAAATTTTAATATGAAGGAAACATATATACGGAAATAACCGTAGAATATTTGATCTATCAAGCTTTGAAATTCAATTGTAGAATTATACCCACTATTACCTTGAAATCATCTAGTCTTTAATCACATTTATGAATTAAAGTTCATGTAGGTAGGTAGGTAGGTAGGTAGGTAGGTAGATATTTAGATATTTAGTGTAGAAAATATGTAAATGTATACAGAAAATAGAAATATAGAAAATATAGCTCCTTAGTAATACGAGAGATATATCACTCACTCCACCTACTTCGCAACTCCTCCAGCGTATGATAATGCCAAGCCGGGTCGGTACATTTTACTCTCTCTGGATTCATTACCTACCCCTACAGAATTCTAAATTCAGGGTTTCAGTGGAATTAGGAATTAGAAATTACCTAGGTGGTACGAGTAGAGCTGTTCGAATCGGATGTATTGTAATTACGAGTATAGGAGATGAATGATTGAGATGATTGCGATGATTGCGATGAAATAAAATAAAATGATAGAATGATATAGATGGAGTATCTTACTTGTTGAATTGTTTGTATTAAATTTATATTTGTATTTGTATTTTATGTTTATGTTTATGTTTATGTAGGTATATAACTCATTCCGAGATGGCGATCATAGGTTGTGGATTTTAGGAACCTACTGTAGTTGGTTGATACACTGGCTGGATGTTGAGATCTTGTTTGTTTACCTAGTATCTTATTTGTTTTATTCGCCTGGTAATATCTCAGTGTACTTACTTACTTCCCTTCGGTCTGATACCCTGTGGTTTGGCTCCCATTGGTCTGGCTCCCTCTGGTCTGTCTGACACCCTGTGGTCTAACTCCCTTCGGTCGCAAGCTCCTCGTACTCGCGGTCAGTCGCATGCCTCTCATGCGCCGAAATGGCGCTTCGCAACCCTCAACATGTGTTTCCCAAGACATCATCAGATGAGCAATTAACCACGCACTCCGGGTCGAGTTCGTCGAGCACCGCTTCTGCAGATAGAGAAGTCGTGCATCTGACGCCGGATTTTGATTCGGATGAGGGGGCAGATGATAGTGATGATTCGGATTCGGAGTTGGATATGGATATGGGGATGGGGATGAGGGGTGGAGAGCGTGCACAGAATGATAGTTATAAGATGCAGAGATGGCAGCCGGTAGATCGGGAAAAGGGAAAGTTTAAAGAAGTGAAGAAGGCGGATTTGGACCTGGATTTGGATCTGAATAATGATATGGATTCTGATGACGATGTTTATCGCGATGAGACTAGTCGGAGGAGGGGTAGTTTCTCGACAGTACAATCATATCAGTTATATACGCCAGATGAAGAACGAACCGTGGTGAGGAAATTCGATAGGAAATTGGTGGTGTTTGTTGCGTTGCTATATATGTTGAGTTTTTTGGACAGATCAAGTACGTATATTCACCTTATTTCATAATGACTCTTTCATCCACATCCACCTTCTCGTTAATAAAAGGAGTTGAACATGCTAACGATTTCTTTCTTCAGATATCGGGAATGCGAAAATAGCAGGTCTAGAACGAGATTTACATTTAGATTCGAATAAATATGAATGGGTTATCACGGCATTTTATATCGCATATATCTGTTTCGAGTGGATGAGTATATTATGGAAGATCATACCGGCGCATATTTATATCACGGTTATTGTCCTCTCATGGGGAATCATCGCGTCGTTACAATCTATCACGACATCGTTCGCAGGACTGCTTGTTCTTCGAACATTATTGGGAATCGGAGAAGCTGGATTCACAGGAATACCATTCTACCTATCTTTTTTCTTCAAGCGAGAAGAATTAGCTTTTCGGACGGGAATCTTCTTGAGTGCTGCTCCCCTCGCAACTTCCTTTGCAAGTTCCTTGGCATGGGGAATTGTGAAACTGGGAGAACGTTCCCCGATTGCACCATGGCGACTTTTATTTCTCGTGGAAGGATTCCCTAGCGTTCTTGTGGCGCTATTCGCATGGCATCATATTCCCGATAGTCCCAATACGGCTTCTTACCTTACTACTCGCGAGAAGAAAATTGCGCGTCTGCGTCTTCGTCATGAAGTTACTTCTTCCCCCAGTGCCAAAACTAAACCATCATCCGGTCTCAAAATCAAAGAAGTACTTCTTACTTTCCGCGACCCGAAAGTTTACCTCACAGCCCTCATGTTTTTCTTCTCAAACATGGCATTCAGCAGTATGCCCATCTTCCTCCCTACCATCCTAACGCACATGGGGCATTCCCCCTCGACCTCTCAAGCCCTCTCCGCACCCCCCTATCTCCTCTCCTTCCTCTCCGTCCTCCTCACCTCCTACCTCTCGGATAAACTCCGCTCTCGCTCTCCCTTCCTCATCTTCCACGCTCTGCTCTCTTCCCTCGGCTACACCCTCCTCACTCTCCCTCCCCACTACCTCTCCCCTACTCTCCGCTACTTCGCCATCTATCCCGCTTGCATGGGATTTTTCTCCGTCATCACGATTCTCATCACTTGGACCCTGAATAATCAACCCTCGGCTTCGAGACAGGGAACGGGATTCGCAATCATGCAGATGGTGGGGCAGTGTGGGCCGCTGGTCGGCACGAGATTGTATCCGGAAACGCAAGCGCCCTTTTATAGAGAGGGTATGGGAGTGTGTGCGGGGGTTATGTTGATAGTGGCGGGGTTGGGGCTGGGGTTGAGATGGTGGTTGGGGAGGGTGAATGCCAGTATTGGGGGGAGGTATGGGAGGTTGAGTGGAGGCGAGGGGGAGAGGGAGGACGATGAAGAGGAGAGGGGTTTGGTGGCGAATGAAAATGGGAAGGTGAAGACAAGGGGAAGGGGGAGGGAAGGGAAAACGGCGTTTTTGTATATGTTGTGAGATGATTGGGATATTTGGGATACTTGGGATGAGATGAGATCAAAACTTATGAGAATGAAGATCTTCTCAATGATATGATACCTTTCGATTGTGATTGTGAGGAATCTTTTGAAGTTTCGATATGCTTACGTTAGCGTTTTCTTATTATCCCCGTGTGTGTACATGTTTGCATCATATCATTTGATATCATCTCTACACACTTTTTCAATCTACATGAGAGGGAGAGACAGGGGAGGGAGCAAGTAACCCCATCCCAATACCAGCGTTCCACTCCGTGTGTATATATTTCATGTCTAGAACTCTATGCTTATAATCTAGCGTCCAATACATAAGATAACCAATGTTTATATTCATGGGTAGAAGGGAGGGATATTGGGAATGCAAAAGAGTGATTCGGGTTCTTGGGTAGATGAGATGGGTCCTGAGTTATGCGTATAAAATTATGGGCCAGAATTATGCATGAGGTATCTGGCAGGTTGGATTTATGAAAAGTGTTCAGGGTTTGGAATCACTTTGATTGACAATTCGCTGTTCTGGTATAGTATACCACGACTAAGATACTTCCATCTACCCTCCATCCATATCCATCCATCACTCCACTCCTATCTCCCCATCTTCCCTCCTCGCCTTATTTCCTTCTCCCATCCCAACATTCAATCTATCTCAACACTCAATCTATCTCTCACCCCCCACCCTCCCTCCAATCCTCCACCACTTCCTCCTAACATCCCACCACATATCCTCCAACTCTCCAAAATTTCCCAACCCCTTAATCTCCAACCTCGCCCCTTCCACTAACCACTCCTCCAACTCCGCAAAACAGCATATAAAGCGCCGCGCTTCTTGTCTCGATCCATTCCACATATACCTCGATCCTGCAACCGCATCTGAAGACGAAACAAGAAGAATTTCCAAGCCGGAAAGTTTCCCAACGAAGGGTTTCAAAACCGTTATTGCGGAAGCGAGTATATCCGGATCCATGCGTGCAGATGAGGTAGCGAGTTGGATATATTTAGTTTTCCGGGTCGTAGCAAATCCGAGACGAGCGAGTACGTTATGAGACTAGATTACAATTTTCATCAGCACACCTATCCTCCATCTCAGTCTCCATCTCGCTAGAAAATAACTCACCCGTCGCTCATGCGTACACTCTCCATGACACCACGAATTCACACAATGCTGATGTCTCCACGCTCCCTTAACCCTCTCGCTCCATCTCCCCCTCTTCTCGTAATCTCTCCGTCGCCGATCGCGCATCCGTTTGCAACATACTGCGCAGTGAAGATCCTCAATATCGAAAACCCAGTAGCGTGGCTCGCCGTAATGAGCGATGCAGCGGAGAATCGCGTAGTCTTCGGATTTGTCTTCGACTTGACTGGTGCGTTTGGATCCGTTGAGGTTGATGTGCAGCTTTCTGGGGGACGTCTCGAGAAGATAGTTGAGGACTGTGGATGCGGGGATTTGGGGTCGGGTTGTGGGATTGCTTGCTGGGATCATGGAGGTTGATGGGATGGTGGAGGGGAATGATGGTGCGTTGGAGGTTAGGGATGGGATGTGTGAGTTGGGTGAGGGAAAGCCGAGCATCTCGAGAGTTTTTCGATTGGATATTCCGGAGATCCAGACGTCGAGACCGGGGGTTGAGGGGGGTAGGTGGCTGGTTTGATTGATGCTGCGATGTGGAGATTTTGTTTTGGGGTCTGCTTGGAGGAAATGTGCTGGTGGATAGCAAGATTTGGTTTGGCCTTCTTTGGAGAGGAGAATTTGGGGTGAGCTGTGAATTGATGGGGATATGAGTATTTTAGGGGTGGAGGACTGTGAGGTGAGGGATTCTTCTGAGAGACTCATGTTGGAATATTTAGGTGGTTGTGGTTTCATTTATGGTCCTAATTGCGGTTGTGGTTGTGGGTGTGGTAATTGTAGTGGTATTGGTGATGCTGAACCAAACGTTAGTCTCAGTCATGACGGTAGTTGTATTCTGAATATTTCAGATAGGCTTATCTCAATGATAATCTTGATGCTGGTAGTAATCTTGGTAGTAGTAGTGCTATTCCCAGTGGCAGTGGTCCTCAGTCCTCTAATGATAGACAACATTATGATTTATATACTACAAGCGGTATCAATGGAAGTGCAAATTGATGAAGTGACAATCTTCCGCTAGTCTAGGAGGACGGTCACTTTCCGCAAGTTTTTTCTCTTCTGGCAGGTGGAGAGTTCTCACATGGGAAGGATAGATGGAAATTTCACGATGTTCAATAAGGAAAGTGCGCATAGTATATGGTCAATGTGGCCACAAGCTATACAATTGTAATATTTGCAAGCGATTTCCGTAGAAACTCGGAAGTAAAGTTCTCAGACCTTATTGCTCTTGTTGTTTTGGGTTTCATTGATGAAAAAAATATGGTCTGGCTGATTCTTAGAAGCAGACAGGCTTCATCTACTTCATCTTAGAACAAGCGACTTTTAAGCGGATGGAAGTCGTTGCCATTTCTGCCAGCTGCTATCCTTCCTTGCCAGAATTCCGCTGAAAAAGACTCAATATTTCCAAGCGCGTATAAAGATTTGAGTGTCAGAAGTTGAGATGAAAATCGCCCGACGCATCAATGTGGCATTCGAATCATAAGTCAAGCAGCTACCATTATTTCCTTTCTTCAAAATAACGAGCCAGAAATAATGCAAGAGTGGCTGCATTAAGAAGTATTGCGTGGCGAGGGCTGCTGTGTGGTGTTATCACTCTCTTTGAGCTACAAATCAAGCTTGAATGTGGATATATATATCGCTCGGCGGGCGAGGAACATGTTCAAGAGTATGCTTTAGATCTTCAAGGTGGTCATTGCCCATTGTATTGGCCGCTATATAAAGTTTGATGGTCTTTGCAGCCACACGAGACGCTCTGCCGGAAAGTAGAGCCTTCACCGCTGAAATTCTTGATCTTCAAGGTATTTGATATCTGTGAGTGCAGGCATCTGGATACGAACCGGCGGCGCTATTGGCCTCACGACTATGGGGACATAGAGTACTGGAAAGATATTTGCATGCACAAATTTAATAAAATGATTTTGGTAGATTCAACCTTTCGCTTGTGATCCATAGGTCGGAGCATATCTGAGAGTAAAGGTAGGCGTACAGACTCAATCTTGCGAATAACTTTGTCCAGAGGTGTCCACCTGCCAATTGAACAACCCAATCGATCGAAGTTTGTATTGTGCACTGGCAGACTTCTTCACATCTGGACATCCGAAATTTCATCCATTGCATCTCGACATAAATAGGCTACAAGTATTAACACACAGTAATTCAAGGGGATGACAATCAGATTCTCAACTTGACGGCCTTTCTACTCGATCGTATATTGGCCGATTAAGCCTAGTCGACGGCCACTGATCTGTTATAGAGATGTAAAGTTGATATCACTATCAAGTCATTCAAGTCATGACCGTCACATGGACACAATTTGACTAGATAGAGCCAACGAATGTACGATCACATGAATAGTATATGATCGAGGATATACAGTCTAATCAATTCAATTGAATCATCTATATTGTTCGAAACAAAGTACAACGTGCAATGGTATTCTCAGCTTCTTGAATCCTCCATACTGATTCAAATAAGCACACGTGATTTAAAAGGCTGGACGCTGTGTAAGTAGACATGCAAAATTTTGTCTTTAAGACCTGCCAATTATTGTTCTCATCTCCACTTATCTCTTGGAGACGCAAACTTTGAACTACCGTGTTGCAATGATCCGGCGATGAATAACGGCGATTGAGAGATTCTGCAGTGCACCAACCTAGCTACGGTATTGAAGAAGTGCGGGCGAAATATGGAACAGACAAAAGCTACCGTACAATCATCGCCGCTATCCCACATCAAGGTTCAAAATAGCCACCACCAGTTGGAGACTCATCATTTCAATCATTAGCCGGTCAAATTCCGGCCCGTTTTGAAATATTATGGCAGATCGGATACAGTCATGCCAACGCAGTATCCAACAATGAGAAATTCAATGCTATCGAGCCTCAGCCCGTTCAGCTGCACAAGACATCTATGGTCCGCAATGTCCTCGTTGGTAATTTTCTAGGACCACGACGACCACGACGACCGGGCAGATATTTGCAGATAGAAATATAATCTGATACGCGTTTGAAGCAATTGGAAGACTGTAAGTACCTAAAAAGGTAAGCACGGGAGTGGCATTTTCGTAATCACTATAGCTCATTAACAGACAGCTTCAATTAAAAATTCTGTCCTGTTTGGGAGATTTCTCGGTCATTGGCATGAAGTAAGCAACATGTTTATGGATTTACAAACACTTGTCAATAAGTCATCTTCCATTACATGGCGTCCAGAGTAATAATCATCTTTCAAGTGATCCCTGTAGTCAAATCCCCTGATTAAGCGATCAAGGGTATGAAGAAGCTTTTGACCACCATCACCAATTTTTGTATAGTTGTTTGTTTCCCTCAAGTCCCATTCATTTGTTTGAGAATGGTTTTCATTATCATCCAACGTCAGATATTTTAGATCCTTTATGATGCATTTTCGCATGCGTACCACGCCGCACCGCCACATAAGGATCATGCATAATATCAACTCCGCCCCATACAACCTGAGCATACACCTCATTGAGCCAGCAGCTACAGCATACTACAGATGTTGGCTAAGCTTATCTAATTATGTCTAATCCTATCGTACACTTCCATTCCCATCGGAACAAAACCGTTATGCTGGGCCCCGAGCTCTTTCTTTAACATCAACACATGGTGGGGCGAGGATTTTGATGGTGGCGCAGGCAGTTTCAAACTTTTATGATCCTACCAAACCGTAGAGCTGGTATCCATCGACACCCAAAGAAGCTGAAAGGTAGCAGTAAGAGGTCTTGATTCCAGACCAATGCATTTGAATAGTGTAGTAAAATTCGAAAACGGGGATGGCGCTGACAAATATAGCAAGCCGTGGTATTTTAATTTATTTCTAGGTGCTCCTAGATCAAGTCTGAACCGCATTGATTTTATTACTACTCCTGAAATTGAATGCGCACATGTCCAGGATAGCTAATACAGGATCAAAAGGCTTGGATACTGCGATCCATTCCTCTGCTGTTTGCTTCTTATCTTGGTCGCTAAGAAAAACAGCCTTGCGATATCTCTTCTCAATTGCACGGCTGATTTTTCGTAATATCAGTCCTACGATACAAGAAGATGTTTTGAGATGTCTAATCTCTTCTGAGTAGCATCTTCCTTGGGCTTCCAAGATGCCTATATAAGGCATAGCGATAGATTCCAATAAACTACTCTTGAAAAGGCGTCCTTTTTGGGTAATTCACCAACAATAGTTAGTCGCCGAGGCGTACTTACGAGGCAAACACCATATTAGCCTGCGACCAGTTTATCAGGCCCCGAGTATGTTTGATCTCGATTCCTAAGGCACATGTGTTTCCAAACTCAACCTTACAAGCCGGCATGAAGCTCTCACAAGACAGCCTCATGATCATAATAATTTTTACTTCAATACTCTAATGATTCACACTTGTGGCCGGTTAAAATTTCGAGTCACTTAACCTTGAACACTGGAGTTATTGAGCGTGTTGCTGAGTATTGTGTACAAAATTCATCGCAACGCAATGTACCTCCGAAAGTGTTGTTCTCGCCTACGCATCACACCCCTTTCTGCTTTAGGCTTCCACCAGGCTACGTCAACTCAACGCCCTGGTATACGTATGCCCGCCAGTCACAAGAACTATTTCCTCGGAGGATTAATGATATCACGACTTCGGTGAGAAAGTGAGGAAGGTGCCGGCATCTATCTTCAGCAACACAGCTTTCCGCTCCTAACATCGTGATATCAAGATAGTCAAGGGGGGGGGGGGACTTTTTGAGATACCCTTGAAACTGTAACTTCTGCCTATTCAGACTACCTTTACCGTTGTCTTGGAATTCGATCAAAACTGCTGTGGCATCGGGCGCTGCTTACTCCTTGCTCGGATAGAATTACCGGCAGCCGTGGAAGGCTCTAGCTTCAAGAGCGAAGGGCAATTTAACATGATAGTCATCAATAGCATTGAAAGGCTACACATAATTAATTACATAGTACATGAATTAGCTTGGGCAAATAAGATCTACTTCCAGTTTCAAGACAAAAATGCTAGCCTAAATACCTGCGGAATCGTTCTACTCACTAATTATTCTTTCCATGGACCTTCCCTAGGTGGGGATCATTTTTGCCGCTCACGATCTTCTCTACTCACCGTCCTTCACAGATGCGTCTAAGCTTCAAACTCTAACGTATTTCTTATTTCTACATCATTACCCTTAACAATTCAATACTTTGCCCCACTAGAGAACTTACACTCGACACTTCTCCGGCTTATTCCCGTCTCACATAGACACACACTGACAGTTTACCTAGCCAGATGCTAATTCAAGGGCCTTATAGTTTCCTACTAACTGGAAAGTAAAGACCCCCTTAACAAGATGCCAAGCTTATCCTAACCTATCTCCCAATCGACACGACCACGAATACATCATGACTCAATATTATTCGACAACTCATCGCTGGCATTCCATCTCATCTCACTAATTCACTTGCTAATTGACCAACAATACGCTCAGACTTGAGCTAAGCAAGGTCACATTCATCCCCACATCCATTGGCATGGCATCTCGCCGATTCTACTTTAGTGCCCGTCCCCGCCCAGCCAAGTAATTTCGAAGTTGCAGCTAGCGATGATCTTCCCGGTGCCGCAACTACTCACTGGCGTGAAACTTCTAGTAACTATCTACGACCCTATCGATGCACAGACTTTGAAATTGAAAGATGATTACATCCTTGCAACATTCTTGGCAGATCCGAATTTGTGTTATCATTTTCACAATAACTCCGTACAACGGCCATTTCAGGATTTTGGGTTGATGGTGGCCCGATGTGTTTTTCCAATTGCAGTAGAGCTCCACAAATGATGAGTCCGGGCTAATCATCTCGTCATCTAAGAGTGGGGGCGCGCTATGCAACTACTGTTAACCCGGTCTGGATCCACTCCCCCAACCTCCACTTAGATACACTACTCGAACTTGCCAACGAAGTTGACCATACGGATGGCTAAGCGTCATCTCCATCACGATAATCAACCCTAGAAGATCTTGGAATTCCTCGAGGTCTCGCAATTGCCCATCAAATCGAAGGTTTTCGCATCTATCCACATCATCGCTGACAAGCTGAGACCTTGCCCTTGATTTCATGGGTAACCGCACAAAATCACAAGTAATACTGTCAGTATTGAAGAAAGACATTCTGATGTTAGACATGGTTGGAGTCTCCATCATCATCGATATGATTATCCCTATTCTCATGTTGTCTTGATGAATAATGAACTGAGACCGTGACCGAGACTTCTCGATTTATGATGGCCGATGTGGCCCGACATAGTAGGAGGTAATATTCCATGTACGACATAAGTACATTTTTTTGAACTGACAAAAAAAGGGAGCCCATGCCCATTATTGGAACTTTCCCCGTATACACAGGCAATTCAATCTATTTCTACATTGAGATGAACTACAAACTTGATTAAAAGCGACTGGCGCCTCGATGAACATGAGGTGATGAAAGAAAGAAAGAAAGCACTAGCTGATAAACCTGAAACTAATACGCCACTTTAATAACCATAGTATTCATAGCATAAACCAGTAGAACACAACAAAAGTGCCACAAGACCACTGCGCAAAGACCCGTTACCCGTAGATATTACCATAAACGTAGCTCTACATTTGCATATGCATTGCAGCATGCATGCATACCTACATGAAAAACACTCATCCAGTCACACGGAATTGCGAACAAGTACCGTGACAGCTTCAACCCACCAGTCTTCAAGTCCAAGTTTCCTCATGTGCGCTGCACCTGACGATATTCCCAATTTCCTCGTTCTGAACCCTTCTTCAATATTCCTCACCTATCTAGAATCTCAAGAAAAAACGGCTCAATCTAGACACTAATTCCGAGTGAGTTCATTTCATTATACGCAATCCCCAAGGGGTATCCTTCCTGTCTCGGCCCTGCTCCAGCTAATACAAGACAATAGAAGTGAACAAGTGAAGAGATTTTTATACATCCCGAGTTTTTGTGTACCCCAACCTCCCAGTCTTGTGTTCCGGTCCCAGCCCAGGATTCTTTAAACACCTATGCTTCCCGTAACACTCGACCACAATACCGCATCACAACATACCCGAAGGGATCCACTCACTGTACATACATACCGTACATCGATGTTTCATAGCGTACAATACTAGAGAAAATGATCCGATTCCCGAGTCTCCGAGTCTATGCTGTATCTTGTACAACCTTTTCTGCATATGATACGCATACCAATACCTGGATTTCTCTAGTGAATTGTGCTAGAAAATTAAGGTTTGGAAGTGACTTGATCTCATTAGGGGATATAGTTGCATAACCTCAGTACAGCACACGGTGAAAATTAATGAACAGAAATACAGAACTAGGAGATTTAAAATGCGGTCGCGGTTCTGACCCAAACTGCTGGAAATTCTTTGTTTCCTTTTGACTTGTGGGCCGCTAATCTACACCATTTCATCCCGCACTGTCTATCTTCGCCGTTCTTGCCAATCGAATTGCTAGTATTTCCGAAGAACAAAATTATACCGAGATACTCATCGGCATTTCCGAAGCTCAACTACACATGTTAGTCTTTAGTTATCCTACCGCTTACTTGCCTCCTCGATTTGCAACGGAGCTATCTCCGTCGCCTTCAGCACCACGAAATGTATCTGTGCTACTAGACGTCCAATCACTTGTCAAATTCTTGACTGATAATCAGGGATCCCATCTACTAAAGCATAGGGGCAAACTCAAATTGAAAGATCTCACCCATATCATATATATGATGGCAGGATTTGGCGGCGTAAATAAGACATTGAAATCGCGAGATCTTCAAGAAGAATTAGGTTCTAGACACATATGTCGGTCAGGGTTAGTGTGATCGTACAAAGATCACGAGGCTATTGCAGATTGAGTTTGAACTAACCCTTGGGTTTGTAGTCAGAGATCTTCTATCAGGGTACAAGTATATTGAAAGCATTTGGAAGGGAGTGATGCTTGTCACGGTAAATTCCCATAGGATCCTCGCACCAGAAGTAAGCCAACATGAAACAAGCTCCATTCACCTTAGAAAAAAAATACCTCAGGATGAGTATGATGTAAAGATCTTTTATTAAGAATTAAGTAATGCAAGGCCTACAACCAATTAAAATGCCTAGGCAGTATGTAGTAGATAGATAGATAGTAAAATAAAATTTATTCTTTCATCTCATCTCATCTCGTCGATCTCCTCGTCATTCCCATCTAATCCATACTCAACTCTCTACCGAGCGAGATCTCTCATTCCCTTCCCATTAAGATCTCGCGATACCATACAGATGTGTACCCCGTAATTCCACAAAAATCAAAACCTTGCTTTAGTCCAAATCCCGCAAAACGTACCCAGCACATCCATCCGACCCTCCCAAACCAAGCCACATCAGACCCAAACAAAAGAATGAAAACACGTATTTTTTGGTGACCGAACAACTCCTCTCCTATGCGAACCTATAATACCCACTGCGGCTTAGCCCCTACCGCCCGTGTATCCAGTCCAATACAAATGGAAAATGATTGACCCGCTAGCTATATAAACCCCGAATGACAAATAAAACGTAAAGGAAATTGATATAAATGAAAGGAAAACAAATTGATGTCTCAACTAACTCGACGGACTCGCTCAAATGGTATCTAGTAACGATAAAGATATATCTCTCCTCAACACCTCCGCTGCGCAACAGAATTCAAAGCAAATCCAAGCAGGCTAAGTAGTAATAGACAAATTGTAAAGAAACCAGAAGACTCAAGATCTGTTCTGGCTAGATCGGAGATAAAGCGGCAGCGAAGAGAGACCGTGACAAATCTGCAAGCCCACCCTCTCATCGTAAAAAGCTGACTGTGGAGCAATGAAGCCGATCTATCGATGGAACTTTAAAGTAATGATAACCCGTTATTTAACGAGAACACAGAGTTACGCATGGGCGTTCTTGTGTCCAATGTATTGCAGAGTATGGTGTATTGGCCAATCCACGCGAAATAGGCTAAAATCCGTGATGCTCGGGAGTTATTCGCATGCAAGCAATATGCACAATGCAATGCAAGCTATACATACTTCTCCAAATCGTGCAAAGATATGCCAAGCAAGCAAGGGTAGATTCCATAGCTAGGGATGGTTTCCAAGATAGGTAGGTAGGTCTTGCTCATTTGATATGTGTGCCAGTGATGATGCCATATGATGATATGAAACAAGATCGTTTTCGGAATGCCAGAAAAGCCATCGAATAAAGCATATGTAGCACTGATACGAATAAGAAGTCCAAAGCAAGAAATAGGGAAAAATAACGCAAGATAAGTGGCCAAAAGGAATATTGGTATATGCTAGTACGATAAGATGCAGTAGATAGCAACTGGATTGATAAACGCCACACCACCAATGGTTTTTAATAAGTCCAGCCAGAGCCATCCGTTTCGCCCCTTCCCATCCAGAAAAAACATACGCAATGAAGTCTAAATTAAGTATTGAGAGAATATTCGAGTCCGAGTGTGGTAGTGTCGTAGTGCATCAGGTGATACACGAGTAAGATAGATAAGGAATCTGAAGATAGATAGTCATGCATGTAAACAGTAAGAAACAAGAAAATAAGCGGGTGGCGGTAACATGGTGGTATGGTGGCTGTGTTATAGAACGAAGATGATTGCGTAGAGTGGGATGAATGGATTTGAAGAGGGTGTGGAGGAGGAATGTAGCCATCAGAGGATCCAGCTGTATATCGACATAGTATAGTCGTAATAGGTAACAAGGTAGTAGAATTGTGGCAGTTGCAGGTAGTAGTGGATATTAAATTCTTAACAAGCCATGGTAGTATGCGTAGATCCATCGAAAGCAAGTATCATCGAAAGCAACGAATAAACAACAGTGTTTCGGGAAACGCAGGTCGCTTAGAGAAGCAAGTATAACGACAAAACAACCAAGATGTATTTTTGTATGCCTTGAATGTAGATAGTAGTCGTTTCGAAGGTAATGAATTTGTCGATAGGTCGATTTGTCGATTAGAGATAGATTGATGTGCAGCAAGGGTTGTCAGGGTGGTAGTGCATGGATTTGTGCAAGGTATGTTGATGCATGAATGTGCATGTGAGGGTAATACGAGATAACTTCTGCCGAATGAGCATCCATCATCTCGCACTAACCCACTTTCATGTCCCATGTCAAAAGAGAAACAACGCCCCATGACCAATGGATTCCATCGCTCGAAAAACGGTAGAGGAAGAATGAAAAGCACCACAGCACAAGACACCCACTCAACGCTCTCATACACACCCACGGAATCCCAGGTTCCCTATCAGATGTGATGCATTAAGCTCATAATTTGACTTCAGCTTACACCTCCCATCCAATAGGACCGCGTAATCGATTCACGATTCAAGTACGCGGTATCTGCTGACTCTGCTGTTGATGTTGAAGCGAAGATAGAGCGCGATTTCCATTGCCCCCACCAGCCATTGAAGAATCTACAACGTTTCTCGGCGTCTGATGTTGTTGGCCTTGACCTTGATAATCAACCCCTGTACCCGAAGTGCCGGCGGCAGTCGCGGAACTATTTTCAAGATAATTCGATAAGTCCCATGAGCCTCTAGCGCTTGCTGCTACGGCTGCCGCATTTCCAAGTTGTGCTTGATATTGTTGTTGTGGTGTAGGCATGTGATGTGCAGTTCCCTGTGGCCAATGACTCGATTCTTGTGCACCATGTGGTACTGCAATTCTTAGATCAGGGGGACCACCCTGATAACCTATTGATTTTTGACCTTGCGGTGAAATTGCTCTTTGTGCGGGAATGTTGGAATTGTAAGATGTGGAAGTCGTTGATCCTGATATTGATCGGGGTGAGATTCCTCCATGATGATCACTTGTGTACGGTAAGCCTGCAGACGAAGCTTCCGTAGCGTAACCAGTGGAGCTAACAGGTGTCAGAAGGGCAGGAGCATGTGTGGGTGGAAGAGTTGAAGCAGGACTGGCGGACTATAGTTCATTGTTAGTATTCAGTTCAGACCAAGAATTAAATGTCGTGATGCGTGCTTACATATTTGCTGATGATTTTCTTCAGAGCGGGACCTAGATCCTTCCAGTGGAAGACCTTGACATCCTTTTCAATGTTACGAGGCTTAGGGTTAGGGAACGCCATGATGACTTTGAAAAATTCCTCGCTGTCAG